TCGCAAGTCCAGGAAGTGACAAAACTGGTCAAAATATCAATCCCCTTAAGAAAATGTGCCTTCAAACGCTATCTGGCAGCAAGAACAACGGTGGCGTGTGGAGTACCTGGAAGCACCTGTCTGGCAGTAGTCCTCAGAATGCATCCCAGACGGAACTGGTCAAATCCAACCGCGAATTTACTGACACAGTTAACCAGTACACCACCTTTTCTACTTTTGAAGAACATAGCCATACTGCCAACACTATGTGTGATGCTATGAGCAAGCAGTTTATCGAACGGAAAGCTGGAAAAGCGGATGGTCCTGATCTTCCCTCATCCATATTGCTCAAACTTCGCTGACATTCATCTAACCAGTAGCTGACTTGTTCAGCCCGTATCTCGCTGCTTGGAAAACTGCTGATTGTTGGAGAATGCCAAAGGCTGCTCCACTACCTAGGATTGATTACCCAGGCCTAGAGAGGAGCAGTCGAGATGCTGGTTTCGAACAACGATCTGTCTGGCCAGTAAGTTCGTGCCTAACCACTAAGCTATCACGAGTCCTCAGTCGCTTATTTGATACGCTTGACGTTCCCTTGCCTGATTGTAAAAACAAGGCGGTTGGAATGGTTTTCCTGAACTGCACTAATGTTTTTTGACAGCGTCAGCAGAAGGGTGTTGTTGCAGCTTCCCTATCAAGTTGTTGGCGAGGTAGATCTGGTCCGGTTTCTTGGACTATTTCACTGAATGGACTCAGTTGACGAGTACGGGGACCAATTTTCACATCCCTTTCGATACATACGGATGCTTTTCAAAGGCTTGTTTTCCTCCTTTCCTCTCCCTCATTTCCATCCAGCTCAAATATATTGACGACGTAGTACTCGGCCGTACACGTAACACACTGGAAGGTAACGTGAATCCAAGATCAGACTCAATTTACCCAGGAGCTTTCGTTGCTCAACTTGGTGAAGTGTTAGAATGTACAATCCCTATCGGTTCAGGGAGAGCTATCCAGCGACATGCTTGACAATCTTCTTTTCGTCGCTGTTAATGAGGTTTGCCCAGAGTAAATTACTTGAGATTACAAATCTCAGTTAGTCTTCGTTTCAGAAGAGCTTTGTAAACAATCGGTAGTCTTATGTATACTCCCTTGTGTTGAGTTCATTTTCATCAAAGGTGGAAGATTAACATTTGAGACTTCCAATCTCAGACTACTGCAGTATCGCTTAACCTCATCTTGAAGTTTGTCATCCCACACTGGGGGGGGTCACTTCGGACTGCGTGAACAATAAGTCCACGCCACTGTCCGGTCCATGGAACATGCTTCTGCTTGCAGTAGCATATCAAGTGGTGTACTTGCCGACTTTGACGAAAAACGCAGGAACGCTTGTTACAAATTTTTCCTGAGGATCAGGTAAGATGTCAGACACGCTCGCCATTCTTTTCTGTCCGTCAGTCGGTTAAAACTCAAACCCACCTTGACTCGCACTGCGGCCTTCCATAATCCCGTGATCTCTCTCTAACTTTTTTTTCCAACAGACATTCTTAGGCTGTGGCTTTAGCTGGAGAATTTATATATTGCACCAGTATTGTCATATTCTTTTCGGACTCCACTGTATTTTTTTTGGTAAGTTTACCTCCGGGAAGAGAAGCATAATTGTTTTGACTAAGCTTGAATTGATGATGATCTACCGTTCTCGGGCGCTTCGGTTTAATGCTGAACAGAAATAGTAGGGGAACGTTCTTAAATATTACTTTCCTATTTAGGTTTTCTGCCAAACTTGACTATTGTTCTTCAGCAAACGAGTTTTGTTATCATTGAGAAGTCGACAGTACTGGACCACTCTTGGTGTTATGCATTTGACTTTTCCTTTCAGAGGAACAAGTTATAAATCCATTCTACGTACGGCGCACTGTAAACTAGGTTAGAATCTCACATCAGTGACGAAATCACTTGTTGTTCAATACGTGCAAAGATTGTCTCACCATTTTGGAAGCAGCAAGCGGTCCTTGCTTGGTCTAGGATGCATCTTTATGAGGAAGAGCTACGTTATTTCTCGTCAAAACAGTTCACATTGACACCCAACTTTTGTTTCTCTTTCAGACCGAAGACATGCGCTATCTCCTCGAATCTCGCGGATTGTACGGTCAGCACATTTGCACGGCCAGTTTGTCGCTCAGCTGGATCCCCATAGACTCTGACTTGGTCACACTAAACTTGCCCGTGCTGTTTGCGGACTATTATCTTCACGGGGACTACACGTGGCCGCAGTTTATGGGACTGGAACTGGGCGAACTGTTGGAGGTCGCCTGTGAAAGTGAACTGGCGCCGATGGGATGTAGGGTAGGTTTCTTTGGAAAAGTTCTAATGACTTGACTATCTGTTCGTTGATGTGCTTTAATGGAGTCCAACTGCAAACCCTCGAACGCACTAGGCGGTGACATTTGGTGCGATAAGTCCGTTGAGACAGTTCGGTTAGCCGATGGTCCCACATTTATTCGAGATTTTGTAACAATTTATCACCTTTGTAAACTGTTTACTATGATTTCTCGTTGTTGACTTCCACTTTGAAGGCGCAGGTTGCTTGCAGCATTAACAATGTGGCCTTAAAGCTGCTTGCGCTGTTTGTGGTTCGACAGGTTGGTCTCTCTCTTATCAAAACTCGGCATCTAGCCACATGGTTGAATAGAAACCAAATATGTCGCTGAAGAAATCCTCATGCAGTGCTGCTGTACCAGTCATCGGGATCCCGTTATCTTCTTTCAGGTTCATGCATTTGGCGAAGCGGCTGAAGCTGTGGTTTCTGGAGTGCGACTTTACTGCATCCGGTCGGGTTTAGTTCAGGGAGTTATGTCGAAAAAGTCTGAGAAGTCTCGGTCGTATAAGTCGACGGATCGACTCTCCGATTTGAGCAGTCAGTCATCTGCTTGTTCCTCTTCGATCGACGCGCCTCTTGCTTCATCCTCGCAACTCCGACCTCCACCTCTGGTGGTAATATTCAGTCGCAGTGAGTTGATTACGTTGATTACTACACACCCCTTGTCCACTTGCTGCTAATTCCTAGGAAAACTACCTTTTCAGTCCCGAGAGAACACACAATGATGATCAAGATCAGACTCAATTTACCCAGGAGCTTTCGTTGCTCAACTTGGTGAAGTGTTAGAATGTACAATCCCTATCGGTTCAGGGAGAGCTATCCAGCGACATGCTTGACAATCTTCTTTTCGTCGCTGTTAATGAGGTTTGCCCAGAGTAAATTACTTGAGATTACAAATCTCAGTTAGTCTTCGTTTCAGAAGAGCTTTGTAAACAATCGGTAGTCTTATGTATACTCCCTTGTGTTGAGTTCATTTTCATCAAAGGTGGAAGATTAACATTTGAGACTTCCAATCTCAGACTACTGCAGTATCGCTTAACCTCATCTTGAAGTTTGTCATCCCACACTGGGGGGGACACTTCGGACTGCGTGAACAATAAGTCCACGCCACTGTCCGGTCCATGGAACATGCTTCTGCTTGCAGTAGCATATCAAGTGGTGTACTTGCCGACTTTGATAAAAAACGCAGGGTCCTGAGGATCAGGTAAGATGTCAGACACGCTCGCCATTCTTTTCTGTCCGTCAGTCGGTTAAAACTCAAACCCACCTTGACTCGCACTGCGGCCTTCCATAATCCCGTGATCTCTCTCTAACTTTTTTTTCCAACAGACATTCTTAGGCTGTGGCTTTAGCTGGAGAATTTATATATTGCACCAGTATTGTCATATTCTTTTCGGACTCCACTGTATTTTTTTTGGTAAGTTTACCTCCGGGAAGAGAAGCATAATTGTTTTGACTAAGCTTGAATTGATGATGATCTACCGTTCTCGGGCGCTTCGGTTTAATGCTGAACAGAAATAGTAGGGGAACGTTCTTAAATATTACTTTCCTATTTAGGTTTTCTGCCAAACTTGACTATTGTTCTTCAGCAAACGAGTTTTGTTATCATTGAGAAGTCGACAGTACTGGACCACTCTTGGTGTTATGCATTTGACTTTTCCTTTCAGAGGAACAAGTTATAAATCCATTCTACGTACGGCGCACTGTAAACTAGGTTAGAATCTCACATCAGTGACGAAATCACTTGTTATTCAATACGTGCAAAGATTGTCTCACCATTTTGGAAACAGCAAACGGTCCTTGCTTAGTCTAGGATGCATCTTTATGAGGAAGAGCTACGTTATTTCTCGTCAAAACAGTTCACATTGACACCCAACTTTTGTTTCTCTTTCAGACCGAAGACATGCGCTATCTCCTCGAATCTCGCGGATTGTACGGTCAGCACATTTGCACGGCCAGTTTGTCGCTCAGCTGGATCCCCATAGACTCTGACTTGGTCACACTAAACTTGCCCGTGCTGTTTGCGGACTATTATCTTCACGGGGACTACACGTGGCCGCAGTTTATGGGACTGGAACTGGGCGAACTGTTGGAGGTCGCCTGTGAAAGTGAACTGGCGCCGATGGGATGTAGGGTAGGTTTCTTTGGAAAAGTTCTAATGACTTGACTATCTGTTCGTTGATGTGCTTTAATGGAGTCCAACTGCAAACCCTCGAACGCACTAGGCGGTGACATTTGGTGCGATAAGTCCGTTGAGACAGTTCGGTTAGCCGATGGTCCCACATTTATTCGAGATTTTGTAACAATTTATCACCTTTGTAAACTGTTTACTATGATTTCTCGTTGTTGACTTCCACTTTGAAGGCGCAGGTTGCTTGCAGCATTAACAATGTGGCCTTAAAGCTGCTTGCGCTGTTTGTGGTTCGACAGGTTGGTCTCTCTCTTATCAAAACTCGGCATCTAGCCACATGGTTGAATAGAAACCAAATATGTCGCTGAAGAAATCCTCATGCAGTGCTGCTGTACCAGTCATCGGGATCCCGTTATCTTCTTTCAGGTTCATGCATTTGGCGAAGCGGCTGAAGCTGTGGTTTCTGGAGTGCGACTTTACTGCATCCGGTCGGGTTTAGTTCAGGGAGTTATGTCGAAAAAGTCTGAGAAGTCTCGGTCGTATAAGTCGACGGATCGACTCTCCGATTTGAGCAGTCAGTCATCTGCTTGTTCCTCTTCGATCGACGCGCCTCTTGCTTCATCCTCGCAACTCCGACCTCCACCTCTGGTGGTAATATTCAGTCGCAGTGAGTTGATTACGTTGATTACTACACACCCCTTGTCCACTTGCTGCTAATTCCTAGGAAAACTACCTTTTCAGTCCCGAGAGAACACACAATGATGATGGCTAGTGCACCAAACTTCGCTGAATAAGAGTCGTCTGCGAACAACCTTCATTTTCTGATGTAGCCATCTGGATGGATCCTTATGTTTTTATCGAGATATGCAGCCTGTCTTTAAGACTTTTTAGCAGTGCATTTGTTTACGGTTGGTTAATAGCCAGATGGACTAGGATCACAGTCGAACTCCTCGGATCGAAAGGGATCTCCCCACAGGGGCGGACGTTGTTTCACAACCGGGCAGTTGCTTGTGCAATATTTACGTGTTACTATGGTGCCAGCATCGTCTTTAGCTTGGGACATGGAATACCGTAGGTGACGAAGTTGAGACAACTTTACGTGGCAGTTGCAACTCAGGATTTGATGGGGATGGTCGCCTTGAAAGAGGGTGGTTACATTCCTGCCAATCAATCAGTAACTAAATGCTCATTTCTCAGGAGAGGGATATACCGATCAATACGGTGGATGATGCAATGACCACCTCTCGGGAAGGATGTACTGGTGAAAAGGAACAAGATGGACCGTTATTTAAATAGTTCCAGTTGGTTCAGCCTTAATGAAACTGAAACCGAAGACACACATATGAATCCAAAATGCCTACCAGGACGTATTCAGTTTGAATCTCCAATCTCAGCACCGCTTTTTTTCCTGCACACTAATCAACGCGCAGCCAAACTGGTGACACCTGGCCCTATTTGCCTCTGCATACCAATTTGGTTTTGACGTGAGACACATGGAACTCGGTTGGATCTCTCGTTTACAGTGTTTCTGATCAACTGATTGTGTTGCACCACGAAAGACTCAGCTGGGTCCCAGATATCCCCCGTCAAAACTAAATTGGTACGCAGTGGAATGCATTGGTCGAATTTCGTCCAATTTGGGTTCAAGTAGAACATAAGGCTGATGGAAACTCGGAGACTGTGCCTAACTGACGACCCCTAAGAAGGGTGAAACCGGTCTGTCGAAGAGTTTTCAGCAACCTTTGAGTGTTTGAAACACTCAAACTCACAGCTCAAAAATCCACTTAAAGTACACCCTAGTGATACAAGTTAGCCTCAGTGTTTGAGATTACTTGAGTGAGATGTTGACTTTGAATTTGTTAGCACTCCCCAGAGTGTCGCATGTACATACCGGTTTCTCATTACCCAGATTTGGACTATGTTACTCCGATGCTGGTTCCGATGACGTTCGAAGCACTTATTCACGAAATTATCGGGATAGATTTGGGTGAGTCCTCGCTTGTCCTCCGTTGTTTCTAACCATACGACGTGACTTTTGACAGTACGGGTAAATTTTCATGGAATTCAGATTCTTTTTCTGTTTCCCTTGATGGCCGTCCAGCTTCGGTTTCGTCACATTGCGGTCCGAAGAAGGCTACTTATCGACTACCTAGGCTGTAGAATGACAGGACTTAATGTGGGGATAGCAGAGCAACCCTCCCCAAATATTGAGTTTTTTGTCGTGGAACTCTCGGTGCATAGCTGCCACACACCCCCTGAAGGAGGCATCATGCCCGAGATAGTGTCAGATTTTTCAGGAACATTTTTGTCAGAGTTTTGTCAGGAACAACGGAAATTCCAGGGGTGGGCTGGAGCCACAGATCGACCGTTCATTAGCTCACGAGTTAACTCGAGCTATACTTGTACTCAATTTAGAAAAAGGTTTCGTCTTTTGACTCCATTGATTTTCCGCATTCTCCTATAACAACAAACAACTACTATACTCCCTGCATCTGACGTCTCTCTCTCTCTCTGGAACAACTCCATTGTCAATATGGTCACACGGAGGCGCATGGAAGACCGGTACTTCTGCTTCCGGTCTCGCTGAATTACGGTGTTTTTTCTCCAATGCGGCTGAATTTGATTCAGAGGAGAAATGTTATAGTTGACCTGTCACCAGTTGATAGCTTGAATTAAAAACCGAGTTGATCACAGTCTGCATACCAATTTGGTTTTGACGTGAGACACATGGAACTCGGTTGGATCTCTCGTTTACAGTGTTTCTGATCAACTGATTGTGTTGCACCACGAAAGACTCAGCTGGGTCCCAGATATCCCCCGTCAAAACTAAATTGGTACGCAGTGGAATGCATTGGTCGAATTTCGTCCAATTTGGGTTCAAGTAGAACATAAGGCTGATGGAAACTTGGAGACTGTGCCTAACTGACGACCCCTAAGAAGGGTGAAACCGGTCTGTCGAAGAGTTTTCAGCAACCTTTGAGTGTTTGAAACACTCAAACTCACAGCTCAAAAATCCACTTAAAGTACACCCTAGTGATACAAGTTAGCCTCAGTGTTTGAGATTACTTGAGTGAGATGTTGACTTTGAATTTGTTAGCACTCCCCAGAGTGTCGCATGTACATACCGGTTTCTCATTACCCAGATTTGGACTATGTTACTCCGATGCTGGTTCCGATGACGTTCGAAGCACTTATTCACGAAATTATCGGGATAGATTTGGGTGAGTCCTCGCTTGTCCTCCGTTGTTTCTAACCATACGACGTGACTTTTGACAGTACGGGTAAATTTTCATGGAATTCAGATTCTTTTTCTGTTTCCCTTGATGGCCGTCCAGCTTCGGTTTCGTCACATTGCGGTCCGAAGAAGGCTACTTATCGACTACCTAGGCTGTAGAATGACAGGACTTAATGTGGGGATAGCAGAGCAACCCTCCCCAAATATTGAGTTTTTTGTCGTGGAACTCTCGGTGCATAGCTGCCACACACCCCCTGAAGGAGGCATCATGCCCGAGATAGTGTCAGATTTTTCAGGAACATTTTTGTCAGAGTTTTGTCAGGAACAACGGAAATTCCAGGGGTGGGCTGGAGCCACAGATCGACCGTTCATTAGCTCACGAGTTAACTCGAGCTATACTTGTACTCAATTTAGAAAAAGGTTTCGTCTTTTGACTCCATTGATTTTCCGCATTCTCCTATAACAACAAACAACTACTATACTCCCTGCATCTGACGTCTCTCTCTCTCTCTCTGGAACAACTCCATTGTCAATATGGTCACACGGAGGCGCATGGAAGACCGGTACTTCTGCTTCCGGTCTCGCTGAATTACGGTGTTTTTTCTCCAATACGGTCGACTTTGATTCAGAGGAGAAATGTTATAGTTGACCTGTCACCAGTTGATAGCTTGAATTGAAAACCGAGTTGATCACAGACTAACGATGGTCTGTAAACTGGTTTATTAAAGGGAACCTCAAAAAGGGAAGAGTCTTTGGAGAGTCCACAACAACGCTAGTCCGTCAAGATCTACTGTGAAACTTCCCGCCAGAGACCAAACACATGTTCTCTCGTTGATCGTTGCTTTGTATCAAACACTCAACATCACCTTTCGTCCTAATAAGCACATTGTTCAAGCCCTTTGGTGTAGAGTTTTCCTCAAGAAGTGTTTAACTTCAATCGCAGCTCCTCCGTACATTACTAGTATCGTCTTTTGCTTTTGTTCAGGTATGGTGGAACTGTCAGATTCCGCATGCTCTGACAAATCCATGAGGAAACAATTACTCAACGGGGAGATGTTGCAATACTACAAGGTGAGTGGATTTACTTTCATCAGAACAAAGCATGCTGGTTCTGCCTTCAATCCGTGACAAATCTATTCGTTCCAAATGGTTTGTTTGTTTTGCATTTCTGTCTTCTAATTTATAATACTGGTTTCCGTACTGCTAGCCGGTTACTCAGACGCCTTCCACTTGGTCAACCGGTTCATAGGTTGGGTGTATTTTTCGATTAAATTGGTTCGTTCGTTAGACTCCCGCTTTCTTGCTCCTGTAAGTTTTTCATCCGGTTTATTGATTTTTTTTGAAATTTGAAGTTCTGGAATTCCCTTTTCCCTAATGGTTGATAAATTGGGTCACTTCCAGTAGGTTTATTGTTGGCATCTTCGGCGGAGTTTCATGCGTCTACAAACTCGCGTCTCTTCTTTTTTGTCACTCGAGCCAGCCTGTGAACTTGAGTTCAAAGAAGAAACTAAGAAACCAGATTAGCCAATCATAAGAGAAGCGAAGGTTCGACTTTACGGGACATAAATCTAATTGAAAGATGCACTCAACCAATAAATCAGGAGACCAAATTAAGAACATCAGACTGGCCGGTCCAACACAAGGAAACCAGCCACGTTTAAGCAGGCAACTGGACAGGACAGCCGAACCTAAAAAAACCAGACCACAATGTACTGCGAATTGAAGATGCACCTAGCAAAACAAGGAATACCATAAAAACAGGTGCCGGGACAAGAAATCAAATCGAATGAATCCAGAGCATGACGTAGCACAAATAGGCCAATGAACTCCATCTGTCACCTAACCAATCGCGTCAAGCGGTAACGTGTGCTTTTCAGAAAAGCAAACAGGTAAGGAGGAAGTACCGAGACGTTTCCAAGCTAACTGCGAAGCTCCGCATACAGATTTCAGCTGTCACACCCTTTCGGTGCCTAATTGCCATGCCACCCGAACGAAGCACGAGGGCTGGGATACTGCCAGATTGCCCAAGCCTAGACTGGGGAACTCGAGAGGCAGAGGTTGGGTTCGAAACACGGACCTTCCGTTCAGTAAATTCACGCTCTAACCATTTGCACCATCTCCCCCATTTCGTATACAATCATTTGTCCTATTCAAGAGGTCGCTTAAATGCTGTTCCAATTTTTTCATTCGTTGTGTTCTCCGAAAAATCTTCCACACAGGTCTTGTGCGCTATGCTCACGATAACTTACGCATACAAAACCTTTCTGATCTCCTCACTTGCCTGTTAGCATCATCCACGCCTTAGAGCCTTTGTCATACGTAGTTCTGTCCTTCTCGTCCCTTGTCCAATCGTTTCTTTTCTTGCACACCTCAGATCTCCATGCCTTTGTGCCGCGACCACTGTTTTTTTCCTTCGGTGTCCGCGCCCCCGAGCACTGTTTCCTTGGCAGATAATTTTTGTACTCTTCAAAGACGAGGATTCAACGTCCATCATCAGCACGTTGTTTCGTTGTAACCTGTGACTTCCATTTTTGCTCACACCCCCTTGATTATGGAGTGTGCTGGGGCAACCGCTGTAATGAGCAGCACATTGAAACCAAACGGGGTGGTTGGCCCTGTCTGGAGTTGCTGAACTCTTAGCTCACCCAGACAGACGTCCAGGCTACCCGGTCGGCACCACGAGGAGGTGGTTCAGCTCGCCGACTACTACTACTACTAATACTACCAACAAATATAGTAACTTTCATTGTCAGCTTATTCTGAGGTCACTGTTTACCGTAAGGCGTCAGCAAGTCGCTCTAGCCAAGTGAACTCGCAGCCTTAACTTTCAGCCACGCGTGACTGAACACCACCGTGGTTAGCTTGCCTTTCCACAGGATGCAACGCCACTCAATCAGGCAGTCCACGCCATGTGTCCAGATATTCATCACCTCATAGATGGAAGAAACCTCTAGCTGCGTTAGCCAGTACGCTGGCACTATAACAACACTCTTTGGACTTCATTCCACATCCCACCCAAACTTTTCAATGACATGCCGAATAGCGCGTGCCAGAAGTCATGGGAATTACGTCTTAAGTTACGCTGACTGCATTATTGTTTATGATGGCATATTTACCGAAGTGAAAACTCTTGTAGAATTTCCACATCCTGAAGATCGGTATGAAAGCTGTAACAGAACTTTCTGACATCTCGGTGGACTTAATCCGCAGACTTCAATTGTGGAGAGAAACCAATGAGAACTGATAGCAGTATACCGTTTCTTATCCCTAGGACACATCTAGTGAGGATCAAATCAAATTTTGAAATATCCTCAAATTGGCAACAAACTGTAAGTAGCTCAGAGGTAAGATTTATTCCCACGATGAGTGAAACTTTCTTGGGAGAAGTCGTTGCCCGGGGAGTCAGTCAGTACATGGCCACTTGATATAAATTTGGCATTTCAGAAATGAGTGACGCTGTATCCTGTTTCATGCGAGTTAACCATACTGCTGGTCAGCCGCTTGTGGCCTCCGGCTACCAGCCGGGAGGTTGCGAGTTCGAATCTCTCGCGGGCTTGGTGAGAAGGTTCCCAATAAAGAATGAACAGTTGTGCAGTGCTTCTCCGACTTCCAGCATAGGCCTAACTGACCTACTGAAGCTATTACCTGTTAAGTAAAAAATCAAGTCCTCCTGACTGCTTGAAACTGAGTGGTTTTGGTTTTTCTCGTGATTGACGCTTCCGATATTCTAATGAGTTGGGTGGAAAGCCGTTTCTTGTTTTTTGATGGAGTGTGTTGGCAACGGTCACACCCAAGCCTAGTGAGTTATCGGGCTGGTCAGTCAGACGGTAGGATTGACAGCGTTGAGGGATTGGGTAGAAGAAACAGCTTGCGAATACAGTGGCCAGGATGATAGAGGATCGAAAGCCTCATGTAGTCAGTAAAAAATTACTCCTCTTCATCAGGTCAACGTCAACGACCCCGTTGATTTGGCTGCCGGTGACATCACCCCCCCTCATTTCTGCGGAATCGAGCTCTTTTCTTCACACCGTTCACCCCTGATAGGGTAAGCAGAGTCAGTGGTAGGCCTGTCTGTGCGTCGTCCAAATCGGAGCCATTGTCTACATTTGAACTTTCCCCCCTCACTTGACCACTACCTCACTGATGTAAACAATCACACCTCTAAGGTTTTTCTCATGGATCCTACTTCCCCAGTGTAATTTACTAGATTTTGAAGATTAAGTGAAGCCTTTTGAAGGGCCCTGAATAAAAATGAAGGGTCTCATTTTATTGTCAAATTCTCCATCCGAAACAGATGTCTGGTAGAGCAGATAAGCCCTGTTGAGCTTACTAATGAGTTGGCGTTCTAGGTAATGGGTTGTTGCTGATTGCATCACCAATTCCTCACTGAGCAATCCTTATGTTACGCGGATCGTCGGGTCAAGACCTCTCCGTTGAAGACGGTAGCACAAATTTCGAGCATATTACTTACATCCTATATGAGATTTCGAAGTTTCGTTCCGAGTCGCTCAAGTTGGTTGAACGTTCTGCTCCTGAGGCTACTTTCGAGCAGATGCTTCAGGAGATTGGTGTACAATTTAGGACTCAGTAGAATGAATGGATGTGATTGCAGTTAGGTATCACTTCAGCCCATGCTTCTTTCTTCAGAAAATACGTTTTTTCTAGGCCTACTCCACATCTAGACCAAAAGACTCCCTTGTCTAACATTTCTGGAAGATCCTGGTTGCATTGGAATTCATCCAAATGATTATTACAGGACTTAGAGACCACATAAGGTTGAATCTGGCAGGCACACTGGAACAGCGCTGACTTACTCCGAATCTACGTCATTGCTTGGTTCCAAGCTCACGTGATTTCATGAGTTGTCTTCCCATATGTAGAGCGCAATTTCGTGCAATCAATCTGTGGAAAAGGACTTTTGATTGAACCCAGAAGTGGATTTGACAGAGGTGGAATTTCACGTATGCCTTCTGAGTCCCATATCCCCATGTCCTTGGAATTTTTTTGTTAACTCCGGACACCCATCCGGATCTAATCATTGTCTCTATTCATTTTCTTCCTCCCTTCAATTTTCCTCCCTGTATCATCACAGGCGGTCCGTGATATACACATCTCCTGTGTATTTAAAAAGCTGGAGGAATGGGGTACCAAACTGCAAGATACACGCAGTGGACTGGAGTTTGAAATGGCCACACGCCTACCTACAAACAACTTCGATTGTAACGCCAGTCCGACCAGTTCCATCACAAGCCACACGAGCAACACCAGTCTGTCTGACTTGAAGTACTTTGGTGCCCAGGTGGCCCCACTCATGGCCAAGCGGAGGGAGTTGTCCTTTCTCCTCATTGTGCTGGAACAAATTATGGACCGATTGACACGTCGTGAACGAGTTGAAGATGTTCGTGCCGCCCAGACGCTTCTTCTTCGCTCCGGCAGTGGTGGGACTTTGGCAATGACCAGTGGAAAGGTACCGTCGGAAAGCAATGGTGGAGTGTCGCCTTCGGGAGATACAAAATCTGCAACTCCAGCAGCAGGTGGGACGTGTGGGACATTGGCAGATGAAACCACATCGATGCCTATACGCCTGGCGGTCGAGTGGCTTAGTACCTAGTGAGCTTATATAGACCCGTTATTCCAAAACTGTCATTCCTCAAAATCGACCCCATAGAGAACGTTTGCCATTATTGGCTAAAGTCATGCACTCTAGGGTGAACCTCTGCATCTCAGGTCTAGCTGAGAGGTAATTGACGGTTGACGCATTTTCACATAAATGTCCATCTGCATCATAAAGGTGATGAATACAAGAGTTCTTCCAGCGTTGCTTGCCTCCTCAAGTGGATTTACCTATATTTTAGTTTTAGTACTGCTTGCCTTACCTATAAGGATACACGTAAACGGCAGATGGTTAGCTGGCGTCATTTAGTTTTCACCGTAGTAAATAGAGCCCACATTCTTCATCTAATTAAGATCCAGGCGCTCTCGATTTTTGGTTCTTGCATAACTTAGTAAGTTATTTATTACCACCGCTTCTCCGATTCGCAATCTCGTGAAAAGGCTTGCGTTTTTTTCAATGTTTCTCGATAGCGTTTATTGCTTGAACTGATCCTTACATACAAAAATGAAGAACGAATCCATTCCTGGAGTCGTTTGAATTTGGGGTCAGCTCTTTACACACACTGGCCGTAGTGGGAGGATAGCCATCCTAACTCAGTATCAGATTGTTAAGAAATGCCCGTTACCATACTGGTCATCTTTTGATGAGGACAAACCTTGGGCTAACTCTTTCTCTTCTGGTCTGGCCTGAACTCTACACGTACCAAAAGTTCTCCACTTTAACTGGATGCAAACTTGGGAAGTGCACTCTCTTGGCCTATCGGTTCGTCGTCTTCTTTGATTGTATCTTTTCAACTTAGTGATCAAAATCATCTGTTGGTACTTTGTTTTCTTCATCTTGATGAACGAACATGGCCGCACAACAGTGAAGCTACTGACCCAAACCCATCCCTAACTCTTCGGTTGCCCTTGACAGTATTCCATGCTTCCTTCCACTTTCAAGCCTGTTACGAGCCAAAAAGGAACGTTGGCTATCTCCTCTCTAATCGGTTTTGCTGTCGAGGATGGTCATAATCGCATTAGCCCTGGACTCTCAAAATCATGTCTTGCGGTGAGGTTTCAGTAACAGAAACATAACACAGTTCCCCTTCAAATGACTACCATCCAGAGACGATCGCTCCAGTTAGGTACTAATTTATGGATTATGGTGTATGCAACATGCCTTTACATCTTTTGGAAAGAGAATGTACGACAACACAGCAAGTCACGGAGGTAATGACTGTCTTTAGACCCCAAAATTTTCAGAATTCAGGGATGTATTTTTGGTGGGTCGTTATGGAGATACCGAATCCGAGATCGTTAGACATTGTACAAAGACGGGAGATTTTTGCTTAACGAAGGCACGGGAATCACGTGTTCAGGAAACCGCGCGTGTAACTTTGTGTTCCACTATTATTATTTACAATCCATGACACACACGACACCTACGGCGCCTACGTAACGTCAGTTTGTTTCTCAAGGGAAGAGTTGACACTGCGGTGGTGCGATCTATACTGTTTTGTGGATCAATGACGTGGCTCCTACCCAAATAGGACATGCGGAATATATCAATGTTTTACCACTGATGTCTCCGAAGCATCGGTCAGGTCTGGTGGGAATATCGGATTAGCAATGCTGAGGTACGCCGGATGATCTTAGGAAGAATGAACTCTCCCTCAACAGACGAACTGCTCGTGCTTCCTAGGTTGTGCTTGTTAGGACATGTATTCCGTATGCCAGAACACCGCCTGCCTCGTGGAGCTAGTTTCGCCCAGCCCGATGCTGAGTGGAAACGACTGAGAGGTAAACAGTGGACGACTGGCAACGAAGTACGAAAACACTAACCAGTGAACTTAATCGGGTGAGCAACTGCTGCCTCCCTGGATGGGAACCCCGGGACTCACGTGGCTAATTATATTGGCAAGAATGGCTCAATCGCGCAGTCAGTGTCAACACTTTTGCTTTGAACGTAGTTACTTTGCACTGTAGCTGTTTTCAGTTAACTTTTGAGTGGCCTCGTGAACCATGCCGTGGTAGTATGTAGACGTATCTGATTTCCACACAGCCACGGAGATCGCTTGCTCGACGGACTCCGCCTGAGCGCTCTGGCCTCAGTCACACATGATGGTCTTGGAGAGGAGGTTTACAGTCTTGTACACCGCGCAGTTCTTCATGCAGCCGGACAAGCCGCCTTTCCTATGCTTTTTGCCCTGCGTTGTCTGCGGGTATTGGCGCCTGCCAAATCTGAAGAGATCTCTGAGGTGACAAATCTATCTAACCGAAACCTTTCAACTGCTGTGGCCCGCCTTGGAATCTCATCGCGTCGGAAATCTCAATACAGGTGGGTTGTTGTTGGTGATGCTGTTTGTTTTCAACTCCATTGTTGTTTACACAAACTCAGAACGAACATTTATGTCGACTGATCCATGATTTGGCAGTGTCCACTCGATGTTTGCCATCGTGGTCAATGAGCGGTCGGAACCGAACAAAACGTTGGTTATCTGTCTTGGGTGGTGTTAGCCAATAACCATGGTTCCAGTCTAGGTGGATTACGTCACGCGACAATATGCTTAAAAGCTCACTTATTCACTCAGCTGAAGCAAACTTGTGAGCCAGGCCGGCATGGGTCTGAACACATCTTAGCGAGGATAGCGAGCAAGCAACTAACCTATCTTTCGCAAAGAAGTCCCTATTCTCACTTGAGCTAATTCAGAGAAATCAGAAGTGACTATAACCCATCTGTGTGTCCATTGTCGTCAAAGCAATTTTGTTGCTACCGGCTCAAAGTCTATAGAGTAGAGGAATCAGAAACCGTATGGGGATATGCCTCTCATTTTAGCTTCCTCATCATAAATTTCACTTGGTGAATAGCGAAATGGTCGGTCGAGTTAGATCCTTTCACCACATTAACAAGTACACGACCTCGTAGTTCCCATCAAAGGATCTGTTGAGGATTGCCTTCAGCGCATCGCTGGTGAGGCTGCTCTTACGTTAGTTGCTGGAGTTTGTCGATAAACCGACGACTCGGTTGTTAATGAAAGATATCTTTCCCTGATTAGTTGTCTGGTCGTGTTAAATGTTTCCTCCACTCTACTCTTCAGTCGTCTTCATCACCTTCTACGACTCAGTCATTCCGGCCAGGCGAATCGAAATGTGGAGCAGGCCCCAGTTTCTCCCTCCTACGTTTACGCCGGTCAGCATTGTCCAGTTGTGGTTCGACTGGTCGAGTCTATATGGGCTACTTCTGTGCTTCAGTCGCCACTCGCTTCATCCAAACGTTCCGGCGATCAACAACAGCAACATTCGGGCAAGGCGACCGCGTCCAACACAGATATGGAATTAATAGGGAAAAATAATCTCGTTTCTGCTCTGAAGCTGATGGGCATGTCAAACGAAGGTTTGTTGATCAGTTGGAGTTTTTCTCATTTTACCATACATTGGATTACCTGACTTCTGATTGAAATATTCTCGCTAAGGATAATCCACATTCCTAGATCATCCGTCCCTTTTCTAAAGCTGCTTTGAGAATACCGCTCTGGGCGGTGGATTTGTGGGCTTCGCACTTTGTTGTACATTCGGCAGTCTAAGACTAACGACCGAAGGGTCACGTGAGCAAGTTCTCCACCCGCCGGTTTCACTAAAACTGAAAAGCCTTGCGCACATAAGCTTTTCGGCTTCCGAGCACATCTTTTTTCTGGTCTTTCAGGTGTCATGTTGCAGGGCCACATGACATTAATTGCACTGAGTTTCGCGAAATGACGCATCGTTATGCCATAACCATACGACTGCAAGTAAACTGAGACTGAATTTGGCCAATGGACTCCGCAACCATATATTCCATTGTTAAGAGTGCGAAAGTTTCTCATTTTCATAAAATCTGGGGAGCTCAGGCTCCATTCTTATCAATTCCCCGTCAGTACCTAACGTGAGAAATGCTTTTGTGGACTATTTTAGAACGTCCTCCCACTGAGAAAAGTGACTTCATGTTAGTGGAAATATTGTAGCGAAAATGAAATCGAAATGTGCCCAATATAACCTCGTCCTCGAATGAATAAAATATGTTGTAGGCTCGACAGTCGGAAGGTCCGAACAACATCGATATCCATGACAAGGGCAAATATTCTATGATCTCTTATTCTCCTCTCATCATAGTACGGGGGACTAACACTGCTAACTACTTCTTTCCGTTTGTTCACCCTCGACCATACACAAAGGGATTTTGGTACTTCGGAAGTTACTTCATTATCCGAAGTCAATCGATCGTCACAACCAGGACAGTTACTGGGTCGTCGTTCGATTAGTTGGACACACCAATCACGTCGCCCAAATGTTTAGACTTGAAAATCCAGATGAGTCCAACGTGCGTTGGTGGAGTAGTGGTTACACGCTCGCCTCGCATGTCAGATGTCCGGAGTTCAAATCCCGGCACGGCCATTGGATATTCACTGTTGATGAGCTCTACTAAGAGCGAAACTCGAGTCCACTGCTTCCCTTTGGTGTGGATTCACCGGAATAATTACGCTAGAACAGGAGGACGACCGTTCACACGAGAGTGGTGTGACTACGAGCAAACTTACCTATCCCGCAAAAAACCCCGAAATTGCAAGTTACCCGAAAAAGTGTTTCGCGGTAGCCAGGTGTACTTTAGTGTGACGGATGAGGTCAATGCACGAATCTGCATGGCTCGAATCGCGTTTGCTTACTTGAGACACCCATGACGTGAAAGCGGTGTACCCCTGAAGTGTGTGTATCAGGCTAAGGTGTAGGCTGTTCTGTTTACTGCCTGTTCGATCAGTGGAACTGAAACATCTTCAGGTGTTCGATAACCGTTGTCTCAGAACCACAGCTCGTATGGGCTGATGTCGGAGAATCCGTAACGAGGCAATTAAAAGGCGAGTGTTCGGTTGTGCAACGGGTTCTTCCATTGAATAATGTGTCCAGCACCAGAAGCTGCGTTGTTTGGTATNGGAGCCAACCCTTGACATGGCAGAGGGGTACGAAAGAGAGTACAAAAAATCTGGGTGCCTTTGGTTCGACTTGCTTTCCAGGATGGGAACCGCGTGATCCCCGCTGCGTCTGATTGGAGGCACTAAGATATGACCACTACTCGGTGTCGGTGGCGTTCTTGTTGTCAGTTTCTATCCAGATTGTCTGAGTGAGTATCTGGAGGTGTAGGCACCTCTGAGTGATTGTGGTACGCCACCACTAAATCCCTTCTCCGTTCACTTTTATTCTTACCTTCAACATAAAACTTTCAAATAAATCATGGTCGTTCGACAGCGAAGCGTCATTGTTGAACACTGATGTTGTGTCGTTGATGATGATGAAGTCCTACTCTTTTAGAAGGCATTTGTATCTCAAACAAATCTACTCGAGTTTTTCCTACACAGTAGTAAGGTCCCGTGTGTGATACGCTGTATGGACTTCCCCCCTCTTATTTCAGCCTCAGCCAACTTGGGGATGATGAGCTTCGCTGACCCTTTGCTAGCTGTTGCAGGTTACCAAAGTGAGATACTCAAAAGTGCGCGGCGGCCCCTCGCTCCGTTGGCGCAGCCGCTCCCCCTACTTTCTGCCAACCAACCGGTAGTGGTGGTCTTCCCCGGAGGCTGCACTTATGGTGAGGTGGCAGCTCTTCGGTTCGCCGCAGCTCGACGCCGATGGCAACTCCTCATTGTCACTTCTTGCCTAATCACCTCCCGAGAGCTCCTTCAACAGGCTGGACAGGCTGTCGTGACGACGTCAAACACTGGCCAATAAAATGAAGCATTTCCTTTCGCTCTCGTTCCGATGCATTACCAATGGCTGTGCTTTGCCTCGTTTTTTCGTTTTTTGTATACTCTCTGATCTGTTAGTATCCTCATTGTGTGCAATTTCCACTGCCTTCTTCGTTTGTGGTGTTTCGACCAAATGCTCTTTAGGAGTTTATTTTTTAAAGGGAAATGAGATGCTCGCTTTTCTGCTCACTATTTTTCCCAATAAACACCGGATTCGGAAAGTGTCTCCGTTTTTTTTTCAGTACCAACTTAATGAGACTTAACCGTGAGAACTGTGGGTTTCGTTTTCTGGTTGTTGATTAGAATTCGGTTGGATAGGTATTCGGTTAGTTTAGGCCTGGTTCGTTTCCCTTAGTTTCTTTTCGATGAGTACCCTGTCTTCCGAAGCGTTATTCGTCATTCGGAATACTTGACGGTCCCCTCTACAAGCGGTGCGGCATGTGTAATGCCGTTGGTCGGGTTAAGTTTGTTGTTTCCCACTGGACTAATTCCGATGTAATGTGGGTAAATGTTAATTGCTAAAAACGGCTATTTCGGTACTGTCCAAAGTGCAGATCTTGTGATCTCCCTCATCGTCTTGGTTTGAGCATTCTGTTCAAATTTGATTAATCGGTTTCCTGTTTGAGTGGGTAAATTCCTCCTCAGCTTTCTGTTGCTTATATAGTTTTTAAACAGTATCTGATGGCTCTAAAGCGATTGGGTGGTAATTAAACTGGTTGCCTGGGAATCTGATCGTTTTCACTGCATTCTTGCAGCTCTGTTGGACGTGAATCTCTTCGGTCCCTCGGGCTAAGTTGTAACGTATAGTTCTGTAGCTTAAAATTTACTTTTTGAATATACCTCTCTAGATTGGCAACTAGGAGTATCTCAGTCTTCTTTCTTTCCTCGGGAGGCATGCATCGAAGAAAAGGTTGTTTGCATAGCTCGTCCTTGTTGAGACAGCCACGAAGATGTGTCTGACAGGCCCTTTGTCGACGTGCTCTTGAACTTCATGGCCTTTTGGGACGAGATTATGCACCGTAACGATTTCGCACGTTTCTGATGGATTCGATTGGATTTATTTTTACATCTTTATGACCGTTAACAGCCACCTTTCTTTCTGCCATACACTAGACGTGTCCACTTCAAGTGATCTGTGGCCTTCCGCTGTGTGGTTACAGATTTTAGCAATACGCATGAATGTTTTCTTAGGTGCGCATGGCTAACATTTTGGACGAAATACTGATTCTTTGTTTTTACTCTTCCGTTTAAAATTCAGGGATCACATCCTAGGTGACGTGAATGATGGACTGGGGTGGCAGACCAAGCAATCTCTAGATGGATCATAGTGTTTTCTCACCTTCGAAGTAGTATTTATCCCAGTTGACCACTAGCAAATTACTCCACTTGCAATCGTTTTTGGCATTCCACAAATCCAATTGTTGCTGGTGGCCTACTTGAAAGTTTGTACTGTGCTCGAGCCCTGCAGAAACGTTTGTTGCGCTTCACACGAGTGTTTGAAAGGTTTCTCTGCATAGGTCTCTTTTACGCACTCTAAACCTGTACACTGCACCCTATTCACGTATCCTCCTGTCGACAAGTGATGGAGTGGTGGTCTAGGGTAACTTACTTTCCATTGTATAGGGACTCCTTCATTAGACTGCATTTTTTCCAAAGAATCACGATCAAGTTTATTCAGTGATGTACGGCGGTAGTGAAACATCTGACCGAGCTCATTAAACTTTCAGGGATAGCTTCATTTTGTCGATTCGTTCTACTATGACTTTCAAAGCATCCCATGGTGGTATAACGATGGGGCTTCGTGAATGTACGGTACTAGCTTGGGCATGGTGACGCTTGTGAAAATTCACATCAGGATTTCTTATTACCGAAAATATCCGAAAGGAAGGAGATCGAAGGAGCGTACGCAGTCTGTCCCGATGTTTACGGAGCGTTCTTCCTGAATCAGTAGGGCGACCAAATCTGCTGCTTACGTCGGTTAATCATGAACTACTGAATTATATGAAAGTTCCACTTTTAAAGGCCAGTTGTTATTGTGTAAGACTCATTCTTGGAACAGTGGCCAACTTGGTTTTCCATTTTGTGCCACATTTTACCTCATGGAGGCTCGGACTGATGTTACGCCAAGGTCGAGCTACCTTACTGAACGCCTGGGATCGGCTTTCGGCGCGTCAGTCGCTCTTATAAAGGCTTGGCCAGCCATTTGGCTTTTGCGGGTCACATGACAGCCAAAGTATTCGCGTACGGGTCTGTAGTCGTCGGTCCTCTTAGGGGGTATGCTGGCGTCTGATACACTCTCTCATGAATAGAGCTGGTCACATTCTTTTCTTGATTCCAACATCGTTACTCGATATCGGTTAGGACTTTAAGGTAGATGCTTTCTCCCGAATTTATCGGTTTCAGAAAACTGTGTGGAGGGCTGTCAACCAGCCTGTTCCGAATGGCTGATTTAGGACGATCTGGGCTATTACCAGCCCAGCTGGATAGATCGCAAAGGAATTTCTTTTGGTATTGTTTGCTCCTCAGAGGTAACCTAACAGTACGTTTTCTCCGGGGCATACCTAGCGCACAAACCAATGTATTTATGGTATCGGAACTTTTCCGATTCTTTAGCTACGTAGTACTTCAAAATCCGTACATGTGCATCTGCTGAATTTCACAAGAGCCCACAGAACTGGTGTGAAGTTACTATAGCATTCTAATGAAAACGTTGTCGTCTTTTAAGGGTCTCTTAATATGTCCTCAACGGTTGGGTGCGGGTCCTGTTCGTTGGTGCTTCCCGCGTAAACGAAGCGGTTGGGAAGCTGTCGGTCAATCAGGTCCTCCATAAAACGTAGGTGGTTCACAGCCACAGCCACATTGCACAGCACGCTTATCTTTACACGGTTCTCACTTTAATCATTCGATCTACAAAATAAGTTGAACTCTCGTCCAGTATAGTCGTAATTTAATCCTGTATTACCTGTTCGTTTCAGTTGCTCATTCAGGTAATTTGCCTCTATGTGATCCAACCATGAGCACTGAAAGAGGCAATAGCCATCGATCCAGACCGCCTAAATACCAAAATACGGTAGCCTACCAGAACAACATGCACGATACTTCGAAACGAACAAAGGAGGTCAACAATCTCGTCATGGAATCTCTTTGTGCTCGATGCAAAGGCATTTTGGAATGGAAGGTGAAATATAAGAAGTATCGTCCGCTTTCTCAACCGACCATGTGGTAAGTTGTTGTTCATCTGTTTAGAACCGATGGGATTGAACCTATTTGTATAAATCCCCGGTTTGGTTTCCTGCGGGTATAACCTACCTCGAGATGGCTCAGTGGTTAGAGCGCAAATTTACTAACAGGAAGGTTCATGGCTCGGCCCGGACCTCAGCAGGATCTCCACTGTTCCTCTCTAGGCTTGAGTAACCCGGCAGTATCCCAGCTTTAATGCATCTTTCCGTTAGCACCGCAGCCAGGTATCGAAAGAGTGCTACAGCTGAAATATTTTTATTTTTCGACCCCAGACTGTTGCGCAATTTCACACAAAAGTATAGACAGCGGTGACCATTGTGGACAGCTTTGTTCCGTATGGTCGAACAAACGGGTTTCAAGTAGCTAATGAATTGTCCACTCATCCATCGCTCGAATACAACCTTTTATACTGGTTTTACTTTTTAACTTCTGAATCCTGAGGCGGATTTTGCTGCGTTCTCAACCCAATACGAAATCAATTTGAAATAACTTATTTCAAGAACCTATTTCCTTTTGCATATATGCTGCTAGTTGTTGTTCTTCTTAGTATCCCACTGCTTGTCAGTTACCGTGCCCTTGCCCGTTTTTCTCCTCGTAGAGAAAACTGGTTTTGATTGAAACTAGAGAAACATTCGCGCACGTGATTGCAAATTTCATATTCATTGGTGACTTTTCTGTTTAATCGAAATGAAGACGAAACAAGCCCACTTTTGCCTTGAAGCCTAGATTTCACATCACTTGAGACATTCTCCGTAAATAAGTCCTGATCAACCTCTGCTGGGACGTACTGAAAATAGGTTATGCGGTTGATATTGATTAAGCCTTGTCTATCTTAATTCGGCTAAGTCGCTCGTTAGCACTGACCTTTACAAAGGCTGCGCGCGGTTTCCACGCGCGCAAGGTTGCTGAAAACTCTTCGACAGCCAACAACCGGTTTCCATCTTCTTGGGGCTCATCAGGTAGGCGCAGTCCCCGAGTTTCCGTCAACCTTATGATCTACGCGAACCCAAATTGGACTGTTTTTGAGAAATACACTCATTTGCAAATCAATTTGATGTTCACGGGAGACTCAATTGAATCTCTCGTTTATGATATTCTACAACTGAATGTGCTGCACACAGACCGCCTCATGATTCATTCTATATATGACTCATTCTCTATTCAACCGTCCTCAACTTAAATGTTCCGGACGTGGAACGGGTCTCCCTACCAGATGGGAAATCTAGTGGTGCGTCGACCTGTTTATATGCCACACAACATGTTAGTGGGGTGCAAAACCCGGAAGGAGATTTGAGGAGATTTGTCATTTTCACAAAAGGTTTCATCTTGTCGGTGAAGCTTATCAACGCTGAAATGCCGAGAAGCTTTATACAACTGTTTCATTCTTATTGGAATCATCAGCGGTGTGCGCCTCACGAAACTCACAGAGTTTCGAACTCGCGACCAGCAGTTGGACACGTAACTGTTTGACAATGAATGGCTGATCAGCAGGACGTAGCAAAACCTACTTTGCTCTTGATTATTGCATTCAACCAATCAGGCATACTTTTCACCGGGTGTCCTGGATACTTTCCACCCGATTTTAGCCATTCTTGTGTTAATTCCGTCTTCACTTACCCAGTCGTGTGAAAAACAGTTTTCTGAATGTGTTCTACTCAGAAGTTATCGATGGAGTCCAAGCGCGGACCTCAAATCGACCAACCTAATAAGTAGATGATATGTTCCAATGAATTTCGTGATGTTGTCATTGTATTTCGTCACCAAATACTTCTTGGAACTACCCAAATAAACTGGATGGTGTCCGTACATATGAGTATGCCCATTACACTGACGAATGACTGTACACTTGCTGTATTCCCCTTCAAACTACAACAGAGTCTGAATGATGACTTCAGCCAGTGAAAACGTCTGACGCTCCTGTTTGGATTACAATAGTAGTCGGACTCTTGATTTGCCCATTCTCAGTTTAACAATACTAGATTGGGCTCTGTGCGTACCGGCGTTTGGTTTACATGCCCATTGAAAAAAATCGTTCAGTTGTAGCACCCTTTCGGTACTTAGTTGCCATGCCAGACGAGGAAGGCACGAGGGCTGGGATACTGCCTGGTTGCCCCAGTCTAGACAGGGCAAGTCGAGAGGCAGAGGTCGGTTTCGAACCGCAGACCTTCCGGTCAGTAAATTCGCGCTCTAACCACTAGGTCCATCTCGCCCCCATTGACAAAATACACTTTCTGGTCGAGGTAATGCAGTGTGCATGGTGCCAATGACTCCATCCGTCTCTTCTCGATCTTCTGTGCTGGAGTTATTGACAACACTTTGTTCGGTGCACTCAACACCCGTGATAAGTTCGCGGGTTCAATTGTTCGTACAACAAGGTTGCTAATGTGGTATTTTTTTACCCTAGTTAGAACCCAGTGATGCCTTATGTCCTCGATTCTAGCAAAACTGCAATGTGTTTTATTACTCGGTGTGTGGCACCCAAGCCGTCGTTGTTTGTGGTGGGTGGTACCATCGTTAACTCTTTCGTGTATGCCAGAATAAGCAGCAGACAGACTGAAAGGACATTTGGCTAGTCTTAAATATTGTCAAACGATTTCTTCGACATGACATTTAGGTGGGGCTTGAAGCCAGTGAGCTGACGGTGAAATTCGTCTGCAAAGTCAAGCGGAAGTTGCTGATAGCCACTACATGTACATGTATGGAAAGAGGGTTAAATTCACATTGCAGTATACAGCAAGTGCCCCGAGATCCTCAGCACACCAGGCTTAGGCGTTACCATACTTGATAAAGATCAGAATCGGGTGAACAGATGTTCTCGTCTTGTGAAACCATGAACCTAAAGAGGGTGGCTAGAAAAAGCGCACTCTGAATAGTCGCAATTGCCTGCGTTGCTTTGAAGTCACAGTGGCTAAGTTCACCACAGGGAATCTTCGACGGTTTGAATATCACAAGTGTAGTGGAAATCTTGGTTGATTTCCGCAAAGGAACGCATGACGGTCACCTCGATTTTCCTGTGAACAGCAAGCCGGATGAAGGGCATTTCAGCATGGTTCGTTGCGATTCGCACTGCATATGTTTCTTTCGTGATATTTGATTGTCACATTATCTTGGATACGGACGCGAACTCATTCGACCCAGATACAGGGTTCGTGCACAGCTATCACAGACCTTTCAACATTGACGATGGTGTGAAGTCAATACTATGGATATGTGGGTAACCTAGGTTCCGGGTGAGTCTCTCGCAAAACCAAATCTGTTTGCAAATGAGTGTATTTCGCTAACCTCGTGCAATTTGGTTTCCAGTAGAACATAACGTTGACGGAAACTTGGGAACTGCACCTACCTGATGAGCTCCAAGAAGGGCGAAACCGGTCGTGAGCTGTCGAGGAGTTTTTAGCAACCTTATGAGTAGTGCATTACAAAAATATGTGTGTATCGCGATATCTCGAATATCGTAGCGACTGAAACATGAGGCGGCCTGTTACAGCACATTCAGTTGCCTGAGAACATCAAAACCGAGAGATTCAGCTGTGTTCCGGGTGAGTCTCTCGCAAAACCAAATTTGTTTGCAAATGAGTGCATTTCGCTGACCTAGGGATGAATTCAGTGACCAACGTGTGGGACCAGTCTCTTCGTCATATATGACAAAGGACCTCGCGCGTACCTTGAATTTTAGCACCTAGCCTGGAATGTTCCTGCCAGCATTTCCCATCCTACCAGGGAGCGGTAAGAGGCTCTTTGAGTTTTGTGACTACCTAATAGCAGTTGGTCACGCATTCATTGAGTAGCTTTTGAATGACATGTTGAAAATTGGGACGGAGGAAATTAAGTAGTATCTTGGAAATTGGAGAAAAAACTGGTGCTCTTAGCGGCACTTCCTACTCCGTATGATCTCCTTCGTTGAGCTGTGTTTTTATTCGACTTAGTCTTGGTAGCTTTGTTTCGCTTACCGTGCGTATCCTTTGTCCACTCTTTTCACTTTGCCAGTTTTTGTGATGTTGTCTTCTCTTGAAAGGTCGGAAAATAGTTAAACTGAAACCACCGTGTTATTTCGCGAGTGTATCATAAGCCTTTATCAGTAGCTTGATTGACCGAGTTGTCTTGATTACCGGTTAGCTGCTGTCTGGCCCCATTTCAACCAATCGGATGTGACTCCAATGAGGAGTTTTTTGTCTAGTCTCAGCTTAACAGTGAAACTTGTCGACCTTTTCTAATTTGTAATCGTTCTGCCTAGTATTGTGGAATCGAGCGCACTGCCCCTTCTAAGGTCGAGTAGTGTGGACGTACTTTTTTGCCTGAATTAAGTGAGTGTTGTATCAGCAGTGAGGCGGTCATCAGAAAGCGTATTGAAAATCGGCCCGCAAAGTAGGCTGATAGTTCGAATAAGGCTGCAGCGGTAGTTCATGGAGTCCTCGGGGTACCTGACTGTAGTCCGTTGTTGTGGCTCGTGAGATCGTGAAGGGGTAAGCTGGTCATTCCAGGGTTTCAGTCGTAGCTTTTGGCTCATCACTATGACCCCCAAGAATCGGGTGCTGAGGTATTCTATGAGAGCATTGACCGGAGCCAACCACCCGTTTTTCTTACCCGTTTGGCTGCAGCAACCGGACCCACCCCGGAGGGTACGGGAAATTAAACATAAAATTCTGTCTCCTAATGCTCGAGCATTCAGAAGAGAGGTTTTAAGTTACGACGGAATTTTCACAGGCTTTGTCAATTTCCTAGCTGAATTGAGATCAACTTTTGGTTGATGTGAATGTGATGATTGTAGGGCCCTTGGTCAGAATCCCCGTTCGGGCTCATAGAATCCACATTAGCTATGGTCCCCAAGGGGGATGGAATAGCTTACCCGTTTGGCTGCAGCAACCGGACCCACCCCGGAGGGTACGGGAAATTAAACATAAAATTCTGTCTCCTAATGCTCGAGCATTCAGAAGAGAGGTTTTAAGTTACGACGGAATTTTCACAGGCTTTGTCAATTTCCTAGCTGAATTGAGATCAACTTTTGGTTGATGTGAATGTGATGATTGTAGGGCCCTTGGTCAGAATCCCCGTTCGGGCTCATAGAATCCACATTAGCTATGGTACCCAAGGGGGTTGGAATAGCTGTGCTTCTCGGTTGCTTTCACCATAGGCTTACTGCACTTTCAGGATGGAATATAGGATTTCCAGAGAGCTATGTTTTCTCATTTCCAACTTTCTGGTCGGGACGCCATTTTTGACATATGTCGAGGAGGATGATTGAACAAATTTGATCACACACCTCCGCTTTGGGTCCTTCTAAATTTAGTTTGAAATGTGGCCAGAAGACCGTCAAACGCGCCTACTACACGGTGTGTGCTCCGTGTATAGACACTCTGCGTGTGTGTGGCAAATGCGGGAATCCCGAAGAAGTGGTTATTCCTAGGTGAGTCTTTTCATGCGACCAGATATCTCTGAGGCAAACCTGGTTGTGTACAAATCACCTGCCATCTTATGCCCTAATGAAAGTACTTTTTTATGTATGACGACTCCATCTAGGTCGACCAGTTAAACTGTCGAGTCGCATAATAGCAGAATACCATTAATGTAGTGCATTTCTTGTGACTGTCATTCACGAGTGTTTGGTCGTAGCACCGAGTTTAGCGTTCCTGGGTCCGTATCTTGCTTATCAAACGTCTAGAGTTCAAGCCAGATCGCATCCTACCGTTAAGGTCAAATGAAGAAGACACTTCAATGCCTCAGTTTTGGTGTTGACCAACCTGTTCGATTGAAAATAGCACGTATCCAACGCTGATCACGGTGGAGGTTTCTCGTAAAGTTTCGCCCAAACCTAGCTAAGAGCACTCGAGGTTGGGTTCGAACCATGAACCTTCCGGTCAGTAAGTTCTTACGTTGACTGAGCCCAGAAGGCCAGTTGACAACCAATGTATGGAATGTAACAGATGTTTGTTCACATAGAAGACGACCACAAAGAAGCTGATCGTCCATACAAGAAGGAAATAGGTGTAAAATTCACCACATAGTAGGGTATACTTTTCCTTACCCTCATTTCAGAACTTGACCTGTTCTGCTAAGGTATAATTCTTCTTCTCCTAGGAGCTCAAAAACGGAGGAACAAACAAACCGAGAATTTGAGAAGGGCCTTGAGGGTCTTCGTGAGCGGGAACGTCGTAAGTTTTCCCAGTTACGCCACGGTTGTAACTTCTCTTTGGGACCTTCCTCACTCATTCGCGTTTGTACTTCATTTGGATCAGTGATTGTTAACCGTTTTTTTCTGAACTCCCCCTTTTCCCTTTTTGCAAACCTGAATTCACTTTTCGCTTACTTTGATAGTCTCGTTTACGTAGCTTATCTTACTTACGTCAGCAAAATGAGTAGGGCTGTTTCGAGTTTACCTGTTCACCACTACCCAGCTCGTATCAGATTTTGCGTGCACCCACTCTTTCGCTGCTCCGATTCATAGATATTAGCTAGAAAAAGCAGCCACCTAAAAATTCCAATCACCACCGCCAAGGTGAATTAGACCGTTCACAACAGATTTGATCATCTAGGAAAATAGATCCACTGAATTTAGCACCAGTTATCAGCACCAGTTTCCAACCTGGTGTAACCCTATTGGACTCTTGGAATGTTGCCTAGTTAACGGAGTATTGGCTCAAATTTGCTGAACCCTTTGTCATTCGGAGCTTCTTAGATAGACAGGCGTTCGTGCCATTTCCCACACGAATCTTTGATTAACACTCATGAATTGTTGACATCAGGACCACATGATGTGAGCCTTTAATATTACCATTTGTTGACTACTGATCACTGGTTGGTCGTTTTGCTGTTCAGTTTTAATGATCAGAATGTGATTGCAATTAGACCATGGACATCTTTGGTAGTCGAAACCGGAATGGCTCGATCATCCTGGGCCTTGCATCTTTATAAGGATTCAGCCATTGTGGAAAGACTTCCTTCAAAAACAGTGTTTTGCTAAGTCGCACCTGCACCATCGGAGCGAAAAATACCCGGTTTCTTCATGCTACCCTCAGTCGTCTACTTTGCCGATGGCCGTTTGAGAAAATAATCAACAATGTAATTCTGATTGAACTTCAGCCTCTCCTGTTGCCCAAAGTTGTGATTTTCAAGGACTGGGCATCGTGAATTCACAGTACGGTGTACAGAAGTTCGTATTACGATACCTTAACATGGAACCTAAGTAGTATCCGAACGGCGTGATACTTGCACTCTTGGTACCAGATTTGGAATAATGTGCTATAACCCTTCACACCCTGGATTTCATTTTGCTTCCATGGCGAACCTGCGAAACATTTGACAAGCGATGTTCTAGGATATGTCCAGGTCAGACTAACACTACTACAAGACCGAGCGGCTATGGATTTTCTAGAAGCAACAACAAGTAAGTACTAAACAATGTACAAACATACATATAGGGGCAGTCTGACAGTGTGAGTTGGCCGTACAGAGAGATAACGGCGCAGAAATCAGTACGTTTGTGATGTGAGGGACTGTCTTACGGTTGGCGGCGCGACGCGACAGCTCGTGTCACGTGACAAGTCAGAGTGCGCGGTTTTGTCCATTTAAAACAGATCTCGCCAAGGGCTATCTGGCAGGTGCGGCACATAGGTGATACAAAATAATAAACCGTCCCAGGCGTCAGGTTGGTGTATTGGATGACGCGTTCGGCTGCCGTCTGGGAATTCTGGGTTCGAAACCCCGGTCGGTCCGCTTTCCCGTCGGAATGGACGCTCGAAAATTGGTGCAACCGAGACGAACTTGTAAGCATTTACAGATGGGCAAAAAATGCTCACATCAGTTACTGAAGAATAAGCAGACCTTAAGCAGGAACGAAACACGAAAAAAACAATAAGGAACGAAACAAACGGTATCATAATCAACACTCCCCAAGCTATGATTTTATGCGGGGATCAGGCCAGCAGACTGATCAGCTACTCTGTCCCTCCGCTCCCCGAAGTGTACATTATCCTGGCCGGAGGTCTCTAGTAAGTAGAGTTGGCGAACGTCTCGACGCAGTGCCTCCGACTGGTTCTTACGATCGCTTCTCTGACTGCCCCATCGGTCGACTAAACTGCTCTTTCGACAATGCCCTTCTCTCACTGCCCTCTGAGTGTCGAGATATCTCCCGATAAAACGAGGTCACCTCCGTTCGGGCTCCTTTGCTTAAGCCATTTTGACATCGTCTGCAGAGTTGGAAGGTACTCCTTCATCCACCAGTTCGCATTTGGCCAATACTGGGTCACGATTGGCTGTTGGGTCCAGATTTCTGACCAATCAGATCTCATCTTGATGCCGGACCGGCAAGTGTCCCGAATTCTTGGCCAATCTCGTGCGGGTCAGGCGCACCGGCCGTAGCAGCGCCTAAAGACGTGCGGTAAAGCGGGATCCGTGTGGAATTCTACCTAACAATCATAATCAACACTCCCCATGCAATAATTTTATGCGGGGATTGAGCCAGCAGACTGATCAGCTACTCTGTCTCTCCGCTCCTCGAAGTGTACGTCATCCTGGCCGGAGGTCTCTAGTAAGTAGAGTTGGCGAACTTCTCGACGTGATGCCCCTCCCCCGACTAGTTCTTACGACCGCTTCCCTGACTACCCCATCGACCGACTGAACTGCTCTTTCGACAATGCTCTTCTCTCACTGCCCTTTGGGTGTCGAGATATCTCACAATATAACGAGGTCACCTTCGCTCAGGCTCCTTCTTTGCTTAAGCCATTTTGACATCGTCAGCAGAGTTGGAAGGTACTCTTTCATCCACCGATTTCAAAATAGGTCGGCTAGGTGGTTGGCGTGTCTCCAGGCTTTAGATAGATTCCATGAGTCGACACAATGACTGGCCGTTGAAGGATTCGCGCTCAGGAAGACCAAATGTTTCGGTGTTGGAGCTGCGTGGTCATTGGGGTCCGAAGTCAGTTTTACTAACGGGCGGTCGTTGAAGATTTTTTCGATCTCAGTCAAAGTCGTCTGCAGCGTCTCGGCGTCTACCAGTCTGCTTCCTAATAGGGCCCGCAAAATTCGCCTGATACCCCGTATCAACCTCTCCAAAATACCTCCACGATGACTGGCTTTCGGTACGGAGAACACCCAGTCGCATTCGTACTCTAGTAACTCGGTCGCCAACCTATCCCGATCCCATTTACGAAGACATTCCTTCACGTCAGCTTCGGTCCCTCTAAAATTGGTGCTGTTGTGGTCGGTGGGGCAATAATTTGGTAAAGCGGCTGCGAAAACTATCGACAGCAGCGATAACAGCGCCACGGCTGTCCAGCCGCACAGATGGCACGGTTGACGCTGAGGTCCGAGCGGCATTCTTTCTGGCATGATGCCCCCCCCCTTCCACGACTGCAGTTGGTTCCAACTAAACGAACCAACTGCAGTCGCAGACCATTCGCATTCACTGAGGTGGACTACTTCGGGCCTCTGTTAGTCAGACGAGGACGTGGCACTGAAAAACAATAGGATTGTGTATTCACATCGAAGTGGCCCATACCTTGGACACGATTATGTTCCTATGCGCGTTTTCGAGATTTGTCGCCAGACGACACAGTCCATAAAAACTTTATAGTGATAACGGCACCAATGTTAGAGGGACCGAAGCTGACGTGAAGGAATGTCTTCGTAAATGGGATCGGGATAGGTTGGCGACCGAGTTACTAGAGTACGAATGCGACTGGGTGTTCTCCGTACCGAAAGCCAGTCATCGTGGAGGTATTTTGGAGAGGTTGATACGGGGTATCAGGCGAATTTTGCGGGCCCTATTAGGAAGCAGACTGGTAGACGCCGAGACGCTGCAGACGACTTTGACTGAGATCGAAAAAATCTTCAACGACCGCCCGTTAGTAAAACTGACTTCGGACCCCAATGACCACGCAGCTCCAACACCGAAACATTTGGTCTTCCTGAGCGCGAATCCTTCAACGGCCAGTCATTGTGTCGACTCATGGAATCTATCTAAAGCCTGGAGACACGCCAACCACCTAGCCGACCTATTTTGAAATCGGTGGATGAAAGAGTACCTTCCAACTCTGCTGACGATGTCAAAATGGCTTAAGCAAAGAAGGAGCCTGAGCGAAGGTGACCTCGTTATATTGTGAGATATCTCGACACCCAAAGGGCAGTGAGAGAAGAGCATTGTCGAAAGAGCAGTTCAGTCGGTCGATGGGGTAGTCAGGGAAGCGGTCGTAAGAACTAGTCGGGGGAGGGGCATCACGTCGAGAAGTTCGCCAACTCTACTTACTAGAGACCTCCGGCCAGGATGACGTACACTTCGAGGAGCGGAGAGACAGAGTAGCTGATCAGTCTGCTGGCTCAATCCCCGCATAAAATTATTGCATGGGGAGTGTTGATTATGATTGTTAGGTAGAATTCCACACGGATCCCGCTTTACCGCACGTCTTTAGGCGCTGCTACGGCCGGTGCGCCTGACCCGCACGAGATTGGCCAAGAATTCGGGACACTTGCCGGTCCGGCATCAAGATGAGATCTGATTGGTCAGAAATCTGGACCCAACAGCCAATCGTGACCCAGTATTGGCCAAATGCCGGTTGCCAATGGCGCATCCAGAACGCGTCAGAACTTCCAGAAAGTTATAACGCTATATATACGCTATATATACGAAGCGCTGTACAACTGTTCTTGACTTCGCTTTGGGCATTAATAGACCTTGTGCACCTTTGGTGGTTGTTTTTGACGTGAACGCTAGCTTGGGAGGCTCAGACCGAGAACTGAGCTGAGGAAAATACCGTTACTACAATGATGCCGTTTGTTTTATTGCTGTTCGTTTTCCCCTGCTTCGTTTCTGCTTAAGGTCTGCTTATTCTTCAGTAACTGATGTGAGCATTTTGTTGCCCATCCGTAAATGCTTACAAGTTCGTCTCGGTTGCACCTATTTTCGAGCGTCCATTCCGAGAGAAACGCGGGTGTTGAACCCAGAGTTCCCGGACGGCAGGCGAACGCGCCATCCACTACACCAACCTGACGCCTGAGACGGTTTATTATTTTGTATTACCTATGTGCCGCACCTGCTAGATAGCCCTTGGCGAGATTTGTTTTAAACGGACGGAACCGCGCAATCTGACTTGTCACGTGACACGAGCTGCCGCGTC